GTGCAACTTAGTGGTTAGCACTGTTGCCTGGTACAAACCCAGACAGGGTCTTTAAGTAAGGTGTGCACGTTCTCTAGTACTCTAGTTTCTCCTGCCACCAAGAACCACGCTATATTAATGCTGTCCAGTTTGACCGAGGAGACTCTTTCAGTATCAGAAATGATGCATCAATAGAGTCAAATTTTAGAGAAATTCAAGGGAGGAGAAAGAAAAATTATACATAAAAATGAGCCAACAACAGACTTTTGTTTCAGGTGAGGTCTTTACTGATAAAGTGAAATACAGTACAGTATATACAGTATTCACAGCAGTTAAGGCGACGTTACAGGGACTATTCATGCATGTAGATTTGAGTTGCTGTACAACAAAAACTTACACAAAGGTTCACAAAGCGTTACAAAAGGGTATATTACAACCAAATTTCAACAAACCTGAAAATAAGTCACATAAAAAATAAATGTGCTCCCAGTCAAAGTACAAAAATGTGAGTACAGGCTGTTTCTGGACAATAGATTTGTACAAAAGATGAAACCTTAAAACCAAAAAAAACACTGCTTTAGGTTCAGCAGGCACACATTTACATATTTTACAACAGCGTCACGTTTGGAACCTTAAAGGATCAGTGTGTCGGATTTAGTGGCATCGCCACTCTTTAGCCCTCTTAAGAGACAGTGTTTGGTTTGTTCCTTCTGATCTCACACTTGATGGTGATCATACACCTATAATAACACAAGTAAATATTACATTTCTACTTATAGCTCCCAGTAAACCCCCCACACTGGCCCTTTAACTTTCCATCTCATTTTCAAAGGTGACTTCAGATTTGCTCAGTTGCCAAAACAAAGATATAAATACAAGTTTAAAGTGCAGATTCTGTTGGGGAAGCAGCCAGTTTGGTTTTATTGCTTTTTCCCCAAAACGCTGTGACATGATGTGCACAGATCTGTGGAAAATGGTATGATTATGTGAAGAAATGCAGATACAGATTCAAAATAAGCAAGCTGGAATCATCCGGCTCTGTTACTTATGTCACAGTTAAAGCCGACATGCTAATCCTCATAGTGATAGTTTTCTCACTGTACTGTGTTATATTTAATATTTATTACATTGTTATTAAGAATGTAATAAGTATGTTTCCCTGCATGAATCAACAACTTATTCCGGAGTCGAGGGGTATGCATGCCTGCGTGATCCCAGGAGCAATGGTAGGGTCCATCCCAAGGCAAAGGCTGGGTGAGGGGGACAGGCTAAGAATGATTTAAAACACCCCTACGTAGAAGAAGCCATCAGACCAGTTAACTCACCTGAGAGAGTGGTTTAGGGGCCGTAGCCGCAGTAGGGGCCCCAGTAGTGATGGCACTCCCAGTAGGGGGTGGCACCCCATTCAGTACTTTATGGGCTGGTTGAAAGTGAGCAGTAGGGGAACTGGCACCCTGATCCACTGTTGCTAAAACTCATTGTAGGGACGAATGATTACATTCTTACCCTGTTCATGAACTCAGGGCAGCAACTGAAGGAACAACATCATTGATACAAGCAGCAGAAATGAGGTTCCTCTGATGGATGTCTGAGCTCTCCCTTAAACACATAACTCAGTCAATCAGAAACGCTCTGAGTAATTTTTCCCCCGCAGTCTATGTAAACCAGCTGAGATGATTAGGACATCGGACTAAAATAAGAGATCGTGTCTTTTGACTGGCCTGGGTTCCCCCCAGTCTCCCTCTGGATAAGCTAGCAGCTGGTAGCAGAGAAGATAGGGTCAGTCACCTTAGACCGCTGCCCCTGTGGCACAGATAAGTGGCAGAAAAATGGATTTATTGATGGAAGAATTATGGTCTCTTTTTGTTTAAACAAATGTAATCTCTAGGTTAAAAAAAAACATTGAGCTTTTTATTTGCTAATGTGAGTGTTTCATGGTGAAATATACAGTACATGAACAAACAAATTCAACAATACAAAAAAATCCTTGTGATAAATAATATGTACACAGGCATACAGCACATTTACATTAAATCCTTTATGTTTTATCACAGGAGAGAAAAAGGTTTGTTTTGGCAACTGTCAAATCTATCCAGTGGAAGCATTTATCTATTTATTATGGAGTTCTTTCTAATTACTGCTGAATCTTTAAGTAGCTCAAGCTTTGGATTCCAAGCTGCACAGGAAAAAACAACAACAAACAATAAAAAAAACAAAAAAAAACAAAAATTTAATCCCTCATTCATACAAGCTCGCTGTTTCAAGAGTGTTAGATGCTTCATGTGGTGACATTCTGGCATTTAGGAAGAAAACATAATGTCATGCTTGTTTTAAAGGGGCAGTAAGAAGATTTGGGTTAGCGAATGTCTCAAGTGCAGCCCTTTTTAAAAATCTGGTCTAATGACCATGGTAACTTATGCTAAACATATAAATAACTGGTCATTTATTTTATATCCTGTACATTCCTGGATAAGACTGCAGTAGGCAGTACATGGTTGGTTTATTTTGTGAATAAAAACAGTCAAATCAGGCGTCCCACATTCACTTTTATGCTAGCACACCCGGAGCCTGAAGCAGAACGCCTGTGTTAACTCAGGACGCTGATAAACAGTGTTGTGATATGTGATGACTGTGGTTTCAGGTTTTGTCAAGCCAGCTAATGCAAAGAAAAAGTAGCTTTGTTAAACTTGCTTCATAGCATAAACCTTAGTTTCGGAAACAAATCTGCCAAACAGTACAATATAACTGTTGTGTGTCAATGTAATCACACAGCAGAGGCTGATCAAAGTCCATAATAATGTTATTCAAAATAATACTTCCTACTACCCCTTTAAAATCTCAGTCTGAGCCAGGTCTGCACAACCACATGTTTCAAAAGACCAACCAGCAACTGCCTTGATTTCACACGCACTCATGACCACACACACACACACACTGATACTGTTGACGTAGCAGGCTGTGGAATGAAGGGCCAACAGTGTAGTAAACCCAAACCTACCCTGAGTCACACAGTCTCTGATCTCACACACCAACAGCTCTGGCCTAAACCTCAGAGGGTAGAACCAGTTCACTCACGAGCCCCTCATGTGCTCAACTGTTCAGCAGATTTCATTTTAACATCTTCAAATTGACTGCCAAGCAGCAAAAACCTCATTAGACTCAAGTTTTTAAACCTAGGGATGCTTTTTTTTTTTAAACATAGTGTTTTAAGAGTTTAAAAAAATGGTAAAGAGTCTTAACTAGCTGAGATTCTCTGAGCTAGGGCGATGGCTACATGAAAATCTCATCTTCACACACACCTGAAATATAAAAGTCACATACAGTTTCAGGTGGTCTACGAGGCCTGAAGCTCAGACATATTACTCAACAACAGGCCCCCGGGCACAGACCCTTTCTACAGTGGAGAATGACATCATCCAGAGCCTCTAGTCTATTACAGTATAATGGGGGTTTTTTTTGGTCAGTCTGTTTGTCCTCATGGATATTGTCTATTTTTTGTCTCTTGAAGTCGTTTTATGTGTATTAGTGCAATGTTTCTCTGTGGTGTTTTTTGCAGTTTCTTTGTAGTCACTTGTTGTGTATACCGAAAGGGTCCTGGCTAGACCGCCCGTGCTAAAAAACCAAGCCCTGGAATGGTGTGGCTACGTCTGCAGCCTGTTCGCAGGTATGATTGTGTATGTGACAAATAAAGCTTGTTTGTTTGTTTGTGGTTAGTTTCTGTCTCTTTGTTGTTGTGGTGTGACCATCTGTTGTTTTTTATTATCTGTCTCTACAGATGCAGATTCTTTGTTATTTTGTGTCTCTTTGTAGTCATGTTGAGTCTGTTTTGTGTCTCTTTGCGGGTAGTTTTTGTTTTGTCTGGCTGTAGTCATGTCTCTTTGTAGTTGTCTTTTGTCTCTCTGTAGTTATGAGGAGTCAGTTTTTTATCTTTTTGTGGGTACTTTTGGTTTTGTTTCTCTGCATTCTTTTTTTGTCTCTTTGTAGTTATGGTGAGTCACTATTATTACCATTTTTTGTTGTTTGTTTTGTGACCTTTTGTAGCTGATTTTTATCTCTTTGTAGTCACCCTGGGTCGTTGTTTTCTTTTTCTTTTTAATGTTCCAGATGAAATTAGCTGATCCCTTCAAATTGGGGCTCTGAGCTGGGCCACCCTGACCGTGGGTCCCTGTGCCTGTAGGCCTGTTCAGTAATCCATCTGTGGCCACAGTGATGCATAATGTTCCCTTGAAACACTGACTGGTTTTTGCTTTTGTTTGTTCATTTGTTCCACTACCACCACATGTTTTGGCACATTAGCAAACTGCATCTCATGACAAATACCACAATGAGTAGGAGCCTCACAGACCAAGTCTGAAAACGTTTCCAGGTTCCTTATGTGAGCACTGACTACCAACACACGTAAAAGGATAGAGGGTAAGAAAATAATCACCTGGACTTTAATCCATCAGAAACTTGAGAAACACAGATTAGTGTCCCCAGACTAACGCACACTCAGACCTGCCTCATGGACGAGCAGACAGCTCCACACAAAGTCATACTGCTAAAAATGTATAAAACACATACAGTTATACCTAAAATATATTAGAGAAAAATATTTTGGCCTTCTTTCTTTTTGACTGTATACAACAACTCAAGCGGATTTTCTCTGCATCTCTTTATATTATAAATAGTTTCGTGTTTAAATACAAACTGCAGGTAAAAGCCGACTCCCTCTACGTTAAGACTAAAGTATTTTGGTTTTATTCTTTTCGGGGTAGTGAGAGCAACACACTAATTACTCACACAGTCCAAAAACACTTCACCAGAAACCTCAGTAGGAAAAAAAAAATCTGTAGAAACATAACTGATAATTTAATAAAAATCATTTGTTAACGTGTGCATAGACAGCATGATATAACCTGGTGAAGTTGGTGCGACTGCAGTACGCTAAAGGCTGTGGCTCCAGCCAATCCGCTCGCAATTTAGAGTTCAATCGTGGATTTAAAACAACACATTACCAGAGCCACAGTCAGAGAACGAAAACATTGATTTTGAGAACAAAGATGCATTTTTTTAAGAATATACCAATTAAGTTGTATTAAAAAAAAGAAAATTGAGGTAAATAATTGAATGGAAGAATTATAAAACCCCCTCCTCCCCAAATTGCAGATTTAAGATTAAAATTATTATTTCAAAATAATAAATCTATATTTTGTATAATTTATTATGACACTTTCTAAACTTTGAGCCTTTTCTCTCACGTTATTTGTGATATTTTCCCCAAACTTTTCTGGTTCTACTCTCAAAATCCAATCTCACTTTCTGTCACAGGGGTCTTCATGGTTCAAAAGTTTGATACCAACCAATGTAAGAAGATGACATCAAACAAACAAACAAAAAAGATAATTTGAGTTTTCTAGCACACCCTTGGCTTGGCACGATGGTAAAATCGTAATTGTCCAAAAAAACTGTCCTCTTATGAATTAGTAGATAATACACTTCTGATGGGTTTAGTTCCCTTAACACCATTTTTTATCCTTGAATACTATTTTAAAAAACAAACAAAAAAACCCCCACTCTATTACTTAAGCTCATGAAGGATCGGAGGCTTTTTTTTTAGCGTTGTGTGAAATCACATGAGCGATTTCATCTGGGTGAGTGTCTGTGGTACGTGTCAGTCGGTTGAAGCTCCGCCCATCTTTACTGCTCACGTCAGGGCAGAGTGTCTGGGGGAGGCTTCATCCACCAGAGCCTGCACCGTGATGCACACTTTGACCAGGCCTTTCTCCTCTAGGATGTGGTGAGGAAGACACAGTTTGTCCTGGAAGAGCAAAAGCAGGGAGGGAAAAAAACAACAGGAGAGAAGAAAGAGAGCAAGAAAGAGAGGGAAGGAAGAAATGTGGGAGCAGAAGTAGAGACAGGAAAGAGACAAAGGCGGCACTGGGTTTAGTCAACACTTAAATCTAACGTCTGTTATTGCACGTATGTCTGCACATTCAGTATGTGCAACTCTAGCTTCGTCTTAGCTTAGTGCTGCTTGTCTGTTGAGAGTTAGTTTAGAGTTTATATATATAACGATGCAACACGTGATGCTAAGTTAACCGTCCATTACACTCAGACAGTTCAGTTGGAGCAGTCTGAAGCGTGGACTCAGTTTCTGACATCATTAGTCAATCCTAAGTCATTAGCTAATAACTTAGGATTGACAAGATGTTAGTCAAAGGGCGCATGTTTTCATACCACAGATATATCCTCCAAGACTGAGATTTACTAAATAAACTTTAGTATTTTACCCAATATGAGTCCATCCATCCATCCATCCATTCGCTTCCGCTTATCCTTTTCAGGGTCGCGGGGGGCGCTGGAGCCTATCCCAGCTGTCATAGGGCGAGAGGCGGGGTACACCCTGGACAGGTCGCCTGTCTGTCACAGGGCTAACACACAGGGACAGACAACCATTCGCACTCACATTCACACCTAGTGGCAATTTGGATTATCCAATTAACCTATCCCCACAAGCTGCATGTCTTTGGATGGTGGGAGGAAGCCGGAGTACCCGGAGGGAACCCACGCAAACACGGGGAGAGTGGAATTGAACTCAGGACCTTCTTGCTGTGCGGCAACAGTGCTAACCACCTTGCCACCGTGCTGCAATATGAGTCATAATAAAAAAAACAAGAGAGAAAGGTGTGTCCCTGAAATCTTCTAAAGGCCAGAAGTCTTTTTTGCAACAACAGCTATCACCATCCGGTGGCCTTCTGATAGAATGCAGTTGTAATGCACTTCACCATTAGCTTTATTTTCTAACCATGAAGCTATGTTTCTTTCTTTTTTTACTGCCCACCTGTGATGGCACAGGCACACAGCTCTGTTCAGACCTACTGTGCGCTAGTGGAAGCCAGTAAGAAGAATGTTGGTTTAAAGGGAGCGGTATGAACTCAGGAGCTGCACCAAAGCCACTCTGGTATAATTAAGGATTGTTTTGAATTATGAATTATGCAAAGCTACCCTTACACAGCATCAAACTAAAAGTATTGCAATTGTTATTGTAAATGAGCACAATGTGTCTGCCTTTGATACATCTGCAAGTCAAACGTCCCTGTTTGCAATATAATGTCCAAAATAAGGCCAGTTTTTTTAAATGTCACCTCTTCGTCCAATCTGATTGGTTGACACACTATGTGTGAGAAAAAAAAACTCTTATAGAAAAGTGGCTTTATTTAGATATAAATGCATGATTTTATACTGGTGCATCAGTTTGCATGTGGCTAAACCAGATGTAGGTCATAAAATAAAAAAATGAACATGGAGATGACAGCTGACGTTGGTCCACTTGCTATTTTTTGTGATTTTATTGAATCTGTGTAGATCTGAATATGGTTGGGAATGAAATGAGCACATGAAACCTCCACATGTTAGACCTGAAAAGGTTTCAATATCAAATCCTAGTTGTACTCTGACCATTTCTTATTTCACATGGATGGACCTATGGCTGCCTAAACAATGACACAGAAGAGCGGAAAAAAATCCCTAAACTGTATTTATTACTGATCTTTAACAAGTTCTAATATCATACACAGGTCATAAAAATAATCGTTCTTACATGAAATCTGTGCAGAGAATGTGGCATCGACAGCAAATCACATTTACTGTTCAAATCATTTCATGGAATTTGAACAAGCAGTAAACTACTTCAAATAATCACATTGTTCAAAAGCTTGTCTGTTGTCCAGCTTCATGGCGATCATTCATACATAAAGATATTTACCATTTTCATACCATCACAACTATAAACACTGGAGAAGACCTCTGTTCTCATTCACCCAGTGAGCTGTCAGGCATAGCTGTGTCTTTAAAGATTCAGTGGGCACGTGTCCACATTCCTTTAGTTTTTAATTCAAACAGAACAGTCTGCAACTGCTCCATATACAGAAGACTTTTATATATAACTCATAAACTCATCGGGTTACTTTAGCCCTTCAAATATTCTCCAAAAACAGTCACATTGCATATCAGGGTGCAGCAGAGCTCAGTGATGTAACCTAAAAAGTTCTCTCTGCAGGTGCCGGACAAACGTAAAAATAAATAAAATTCACATTTTCCTCAAGTTTCAAAACATCACACATCTCATAAATAGAGCTTTTAAATAATCCTTTAGGCAAATCAAGACATGAAAATACATCCAACTGGTTTTGAATAATCAACAAGTGAAATATGGCTTCCGTTTGCTTCAAGACTTTAGACGTTAGGAAAAGAGCAAATACTGTTTGTGTGGCTCTGTAATGGTGAGCGTCTCCGTACAGGAAACCTGTGCTTCTGTAGTTCACCCATTCTGATACTCGGGATCAATCATATTCAAGTCTGTAACTTCAGTCAGTCTAAAAAAAAAAAAAAACTCCAAAAGAGCAGGGGGCCGTCGGATAAAAGTTCACATATGATAAAACAGGACCTCAGCAGTACTGCAGCAGCCAGTTTGGAGATCTGCAGTTTTTACATCCAAGGTAACACTTGACAAATCATCATGGCATCATTATTATCATTAACTGTAACACTCGTTGTAGTGTGACATGCAGTAAAAATACAGCAGCGTGAGATTAGATGCCATTTAAGAAAACATGAAGATGAATTTAACTGAGATTTTGCCAGATTTTTATACAACACTATAAAATACAAAAGAACTCGTTGACTGGGTCGGTTTTCCCAGAGCCGGTCAGAACCAAGTTCAGCCAAATGTCTTAATACAGTGGCATTTTCTTTGTACACCACAGTGGTGCACAGAGGCAAAATTATGTGTTTGAAGTGCAGACTTTCGGCTTTAATTCAAGGTGTTTAACAAAAAGTATTGGATTTTTACACACAGTCAACCACTTTCAGAGGCTCAAAAGTAAGTGGACAAACTTACACGATTTGAAATATGAAGATTGTTTTCAGATTGATGAAAATACTTTGCTGTCAATGACAAAGTCATTTATGGATATAAACAAATACCGTTATGCTCCACCCCTGGATCCACAGCATTTGCTCGGTCTTTACTGTGGCCACCTTCATTTGGGTCTTTGTGTCTTCAGTTTCTTCAGTAACTGAAAAGCTGCTCTTCTCGGTTAAGATGACTGAGTTGAAGAATATCTAACTTCTTTGCCTTGAGAAAACGCTATGCTTTGTATCATTGTCAATTTCTACTGTGTAACGCTGTCTGATCAGTTTTGCTGCATTTGGCTGAATCTGACCAGAGTACAGCCCTGTACACTTCACGATTCATCCTACTTTTATCAGCAATCAAATCATTAACCATCAGTCATGGTGATCTTAAAGGTCGGTGCCATAACACTCCCTCTATGCTGTTTGACAGGTGATGTGGTTTTCTTTGGATCATGAGCCATTGCTCTTTTCCCCCATCATTCTGATACAGGTTGAACTTTGTTTCATTTGTCTAAAGGACTATTTGTCATAACTGTGCAGGCTCTTTTACATGTTTCTGACAAACTCTACCCTGGGCTTACGGTTTCTAAGTGTAACCAGTGATTTGCTCCTTCTTGTTAGCCTTCTGTATTTCCATTCATGGAGATGTTCATTGATTGCACACCTGATACTCCCACCTCCTTAACCTTTATACTGTTAAGGTAAATTTTGAGCTGTTTTGACATCGCACAGCATTAAAAACGGATTGACTTCACCTAAAGTAACCCAGAACACAGTGAAATTAGAAGATTTTAAAATTTTATATTGTAAAGATGCTACAAATGTTTGCACATTCAGGCGTACTGAGACTTTGTCCCAGTGTGGGACAAATATGGAATATGCCATGTCTGTGAGAATTTTTTATGGTAAAATGGTGACAGAGTTCATGGGGGAACTGTCACAGGTATCATGGTAACTGGTGAATTTGCCATGGAAACAAAGGTAATGATGTGCTATATGAATTTATAGTTAAAGTTTGACTAGTAGCAACAGTATTGTAGTAAGATTAGAAAAGTGCTACATGAAACCAAGTACATTACATTTGCACCTGCAGTGTAACAATAATCTACAAACAAATTATAATCTATTTATTCTGAACTAACTGAAATAAAAGATCTAACTGAGAGAATAAAAAGAGGGGCTGGTGGATGTTAAGATCAAAAGGGCACCCAAAGTGTCCCCGAGTGCGGGAAAGACGTGTAAGTCCCACACACACACAAGGTTTCCTACCACTGCTCTGAATGCACACACTAGTTTTAGTTTAAATGTTTTGTATTTATAGTTAAGAGATTTTTTTTAAAGATATAGTTTTATAATAAATCCCAGTTCCTAGAAGTTCTTGCCATTTTCACTTTCAATAAAATATAACTGAATGATTACGCCCGTTATGTTTTTGTGTCTTAGGTAAAACAGGTCTATAATCTGCCTAATCTGTCATGGAATACTGAAGGAGTAAACCTTACCTGGCTGTGAACAGTTTTTTAGTTTTACTATGCAATCACCACATATTAAACCTCTGAGAAAGGGGATTTGTGTATAAAATATAATTTCTAAACAATTAATATAATAATTTCATTAAATTCCTTGAATTGCAGCTGAAAGTCTCCACTTTAATCACATCTTAATTGTCTGACCTCAAAACCTGACTGTGTCTTCCATATTTACAGACTATCATCATATGTCAGTGAATGTGTTCTGTTCTGCTACTGTAGTGGAGTAGGTGGTGTTTGGAAGCTTACAAGACGGGGAAAGTTCTTTGGGGTATTAATTCCCACATTAACTTAAAGTAAATCTTACACACAAGAAGCATCATCAGCTATTGTTAGCACAGGGACGTTTTATTAACAGACCAAGAAGTAATTT